TTAATAATAATTCATGTTAATATGAAGCAGCAATAGAGCAATATCTCGCATACAAGACTTTTATACTATTAAATAGATTTTTATAATCAAGTTTATCCAAAAGATTTATATTTATATTGTGCAAACTTTTCCCACAAGAAAATTAGCAACTATATTAAAATTTCTTTAATCATTAAAATAGCTTAGATCTGGTGTTTTGAAGGAAAGACAAAGTATGTAACAAAATGCTGATAATTACTTTTTTTAAGTTAGCTAAGATCAAAGTTTTTTTTATTAAAAGTAAATGAAAGTTCACTCAATTGTTATCATTCTTACATGCTGAAATTTTTCATTTTTTTTAAAAAAAAACTTTCATCTTTAACATTACCTTATCCTAAACAATGAAAGTATATTGACTTTCTTTCTGCATGTTAATAATTTTATGCTGCATTAATGTTATATGCAAATTTTTATTTGATAAAATCATCAAGGCTAATTGTATCCACATCATAAAAATATTTGTTTTAATACCACATTTATTTTTCCAGAGTTTGAGACTTAAACTATAACATTTAATTCCTATTCAACTTATTAACTTAAGGCCAAACATTTTTCTTGACATACCAATAAAAAAAGTCAGCAGTAACAATGGCGGTAACAACAATTTGCTAAGTGCAGAACCAGAGTGATGACAAAATATAGGTATGGACAAAAAAAAATCAACTAAAGTCTTGATCCAGTGTTAAAAAAATGGATTTTAGTGCATTAAAAAGTGAAGAATTTCCTCTTAAAGTTATATTACTTTAAAAAAGATAGATAGGAAAATGCAAAAATTATCTTTTTGGGTGAAGTAATGCTGGGGTTTTCATTTTTTTATTTATTTAAATGGAGGCAATCATGGTTCCCTAAAGATTTATTTTCTACATTATCTGTTAATTACAATGACTAGTTAGGAAAGATATTGGACTAGTTTTCCATTGCTTTCTCTGTGATTTTAAATTCAGAGTAGTCCTTCTAGTAGAAAGTTAAGAGAAAATATTCTCTGGAAGAAAAAAATTATTTTGAAATTTAAAGAAATTCACTTTCCATCCAGTAACAAAATGTTAATATCTCTGATTCTAGGTTATGTTTCATAATGTGATTTAAGTTTGCTGGCACTTTAATATGTAGACAGTAACATTAAAAAAGATTTTTCAATCTATGTCAAAAGAACTAGCTACAAATAAATGTTATTTTTGTATTTTATCTTAATTACAAATGACTGTAACAATCTGTCTGAAATACAAACATTTTTTCATATCTCACCTGGTTTCTATTATATTGATAAAAATACTATGCTTCCAATAATTAGAACAAGTCGGGATTCTGGCAGTTTTCCACAATTAGCAAATAAGCTTCTAAAAAGTTCTATCTGCTGTCTACAGAAACATCTGTTTCATGAATGTTTTATTTGTAAAATTAATGAAAAATCAATCTCAAAATATAAATACATTAATTTTGCATAATAACTAGAATATTAAATATAACTCACAACTTGTTTTTTAAATTGGTTTTGATTCTTCAATTCCTCTTTTACAAAAACACAATTTGAATAAAGTTAGTATATTCTTAAATTTACAATACATTTTGTTAAATCCACCCCACATTCACACATATAAAACACTGCAATGTTTTTGCTGATTTTCATGTCTAACTCTACATATGACATGAACATTCAATATAGATTGTAAAAGCAAACAAAAACTGAAAGCAGCTTTAACTTTATTTTAAAAATTTACAAATCTAGTCAGCATCATCAAATTCATAAAATTTCACAAAATGATAATTTATCAAATGCAAACATAAACAGTCTTATGAATCACAAATAACACAAAAACATTTCTGCATCATACATATTCCAAAGTATGTAAGTTTTATAAGTATTTACCAAACTTAGCTTAGTCTGGCACAAATACATCTGAGCTATCAAGGAAACAAAATAGCTCAGCAGAAAATATGCAATTAGTTTCACCATTGTGGATTGCATTGTAACTGGTCATTATGTATGATGCTAACATGCAAATAATGCCAAATGTGTTTGCAGTGAGCCCATCTCATGTGAGTTGGACATAACAATAGTCAACAGTGTTGTTTACTGATAAGTGTCAAATCATTGTGCACTAAAATAATCATTGTCAACAGGTAGGGGGGTATGAAAACATAGAGGCGAGTGTTATATTGCAGGTAACATAGTCCCAAATTATTGATCTGAATGTGGCAGCATAATATTCCTGGGAGAAGTACCTAACAACAAGAAAACAAATATGGTCATTGTTGATGAAACATTCCCTAGCTAACCTGACCCATGGGATATTACTGAGCAAATTATCATTCTTTAGTGGTACTACTATAGTCCAAACTTTATCTTCATGGGTCATAAACAACTCCTCACGATCCACATCATTGATACACATGAAGCTGGTTTTCCACACATGGAATAACCCAATAGAATACTTTTGGTACCAGTTAAGGCAATGTGTACCTTTATGATTCCTGGTTGAGGATTGGAATATACTGCAAATGGTAAAGAGTATAAGGTAGCTTACACTTACTAAATTTTTTTGAAATATGCTAAAAAATAAACAACAAAAGAATGTTCATAATAATCCAATATCCTTAAACTTATTTTGACTAATGGATATTCATATCTGCACTTTATACCTGCTTTAGTGTGACTAAAAGTTGTAAAGCAGTAGGTGTGTATATCAATTGTCAGTGTTACTGATTCAGAAGATAAAAATATTTGATATCTGTTGATTGACAGAAGGTGGAAACATATATCCCATAAGAAAATTATACCTTCAGAGAAATGGAAAATAGAATTAATATTCATAAAAATATCATGGTATCTAGAAAATCTGTTACTAAGCATAAAAGTACACACAAACAGATTATTAGTTATCTGTACTCAACTAAGTTCAATTTTTCTTTCAAATCTAGCTGAGAAATAAGTGACTAATTTTAATCCCGATAATACAAAATGTATCTTTAGTTTTTCCATATTTGCTCATAAAGTGTAAAAATAAGTCATATTATCAATATTTTTTCTTGGTTTATCCAAGCCTGACATGCAACTATGGTAATTCTACAAAAATGCCTCAGAAGTTAATTTCTGTTATACTGAAAATTCACTGCTTTAGCTCATCTCTTAAGGTCTACTCTAGAAGTTAAATATTTGCCTACATGATTTTTGATAGGAGATAAAAAAAATATAGCAAAAATAATAAACATATATTGCTCCCACAAGAGACTTCATTGGTCACACCAAACCAACGTGCAGTTTATTGCATCATCAAAATATACACTAGTATCCCCCTCTTCTTATTTTCTTGCACTGCAAAGGAGAGGGAGCATTATTCATGTTTACATATATCCTTTTCTATGTTAGATTTTATCATGCAAGTCAATGTTTTTAGAATTTATTATGCAAGTTTATTCAGTTCATAATATCTGTGTTTATTAGAAATGTTTACAATAACTTGTTTGGTGGTATGAGATTTTATGGTATAACTTCAGGATTATTTACAATATTGTAATTAAATATATGTAAATATACTTACTGATATTTAATTTAAAATCTATAAAAATTGCTACTGTTCAAAAGAAAGAGGACTTCATACGAGAAACAAGATATTGTAAAGTTACTGAGTGATGGAAAATGTGAAAAAGTCTAAGGAAGATCAAAAAAACAAAAAGAAAATTCAAAAACACTGGTAAATAAGAACAAGAAAAACTAGCTTATGTAATATTGCAAAAAAAAATTGGTAAAATAAAACAGTGGATTGACCTGTAAAAAAATATTTTAAGAAGCTGGTATTGTAAATAGAGAGAAAAGATAATATTGGCTAAATGCATTAAAGTAACCAAACTACCACCTTTAAATAAGCATCACAAAAAGAATGTCTAAATTGTTTGATGAAGAAGTACATGAAAAGGCCGGAGCATACAACGACAAAAACATTGTGAATATTGCAATAAAGATGAGGACAACAGTCCAAACAATGTAAATAATTACATTGCACTTAATTTGCATAATAAAAGATGATAATCACAAAACTAGTTATTATCAATATTTTTTATTAAAGACAGTTATTATAAACTCAAAGGATATATTTCACATACAGATATATCCAAAAAAGTTTTACAAACACTGCTTAATAACAATTTTATTGTGAAAACATTGACTTACATCAAAAAATTGACAGTGTATATATAGATATATATATTTTATATAAATATCCTGTGAAGAGTGTAGAATGAGAAAGATCCAATTTAGATACTTGCTTATAGATTTGAGTGAGAATGCATTAAAGAACAAATAGCTTTACATAGCTATATGCTCAATGAAGATAACTCCCATAAGTTCAACTCCAGTTGATAGTTACATATAGTACTTTTGTTTAATTTGTTCAATACAATGAGAAATTTTATGAGCAATTGTCACCAGTTTAAAAAGAAGAGAAAAAAATATATATGATATTTGTTGGCTGATTTAATGATGCTATTAGAGGACCCATTAAAACAGTTTTAATTTTCTGTTGTTCATGTTTAAACAGACATATCCCCAGAAACATTATATATTAAAAAAATACTATAAAAAAAAAGTTAAACTTTATGATAAAATATTAAGATTATTTTACAAAAATTAGCAAAGTTAGAGTTTTGATCAAAATTTTGGTAATTATAGTAATAGTTTATAATAGTATTTTAAGTAAGTAAATTATATATATTTCTACATAAAGCTTGCATATATCTAGATACAGATAATTATAAGAAAAATGTATGAAAATCTCTATAGGTATAAAATAAAAACATGGGAAAGTGATTAGTGTTTTTTCTCATTAAAAATCTTTTATTTTATTTAATAAAAACCAATATTTTCCCTTAAGTGAAAAAAAACAATTGGGTTGATATGACCAATTACAAGCATAAACATATAGCACGTAGACATTTTCAACCATATGTCAAAGATAGCATCTTACCTGCTTTCAATAGATGCAGTTGGTGAAGCATAAGTTACTTCAACTTCAGGATTAGGGACAGTTCGAGTAGACTTTTTCCATTCTTCAGATTTCTTTTGAGAGTTATGTGAGGAATGAGAATTCTTAGAATCCTCAGCTGCTTTTGAAGACTGTTGAAGGTTACCGGCAGCTTGAAGGTCTACACCACTGTAAGAATTAACGTGGCTCAACTGAAAGTTTACAGAGCGGGAATCCTGCCTACCAGAGGGCAAGACTACTCGTCCATGAGTGTCTAGAGTAAAACCTTCCGGAACATTTTGGTTTTCCGGCGTCGTGTCAGCACTAGTTGAGATGAAGTCAGTGTCATTATTTTCAGCTCTTGGACTCTGCTGCCCATCTTCAATTGCTGCCTGAAAACTTAGACTGCGGTTACGTGTAAGGTGCACAGTTTCATTGTGTTGTTGGTTAGCAGCACCATGACTGCCAACAGCAGCCATAAAACTAGGGTTTCTTCTAATTAGTTGTGCATCTTCACTTCCTGCTTGTAAACAGTTGTTGGAATGACTCTCAATAGCTGCTCTAAAGCTTGGGCTTCTCTGTCGTGGCAGAGAAATGTTGGTCTCAGGGTTGCTTTCCATGCTTTGGGATGTCTGGCTATCACTTTCAAATCTGTGTGAACTGCGAATGAAGTTCTTTCGTTTCTTCCGGCCATCTTGGCTACGAGAACTACTCGAACATAAGTCTACATCAATAACTCCACTGGTGCTGGAGCTGTTTGAAGAATTCAGATGGCCATATGATAAATGGCAGCCTAAACGATCAGTCTGAGTGGCACTGGCAACTAGATTGGATTTCTCATCAAGTGCTGGACATGAAATGGCATGGTCCCGGTTGTAGGTTTCAGAATTGGTTAAATTTACGCAAAGTTTCTATAGTTTTGTTGTTTCTATGACTCAATGAACCAGAATCAAAAAGCTCAATAGTCAAGGCATCTGACAAAAAAAAAAAAGTAAAGAATTGTAAATTTTATTAATTCCAAATTTTAATGCGTCAAGAAAATTAATAATCTAAACACTTCTAGATACACTTCTTGTAGATAGAAGTTTAGAGCCTCTTTTTACAAATTAATGTATTCCTATAATTCTATATCTTTGATATTGTTAAAATGGAATTGGTTTCATTTTTTTTCAAATAACATTTAATAACAATACTGTCTATAATTTTGAGAAGAGTTCATTCAATACATGTGCATTTTTCTATACAAACATGAAGTTTAACAAAAAAAACATTATTGACAAAAACATTGCTTTTATATATATATATATATATATATATATATATAAGCAATTTTAAAAATTTAAATTAAAAATAAATAACACAAATGAAATATTTATTAAAACATACTTTTAAAAATTGTCATGCAAATTAAATGTTATTGCTTATGTTGCAAGGCAAAGAAATAGAATTCAAATGATCAATTTTTCCCCAAGATGTACATTTATATCTATAAATAAGATGACTATTTGGATTGAAGTTTCTACCTATTAGGATTTATATATTTGAATAACAATTTGGAAATTCTGAGAGTTAATCTCATTGATGAGAACATTCAGCAGGCCATTATTTACTTTCACTGAATATCACAATGAAAGTACAACATAGAACATAAACAGTGTTAAACAACTGATCCTGCTTAAAGGTGTGCTCAGGTGCAAAAATCTAAAAGACTATGCAAATGAAATATTGAAAAATTAAACATTAATCACAAATTACAGACTTTTAGTATCATAGTCATATGAGCTTTGCTGTGAGAAATAATTTTTTGCTTGCTTTCAGAGCACTAGTCTTTAAAGATAAAATTTGGGCAAGTGAAGAGAAATGTTCTGCTACTGCTATTAATATCAATTTTGTTATTACATTTATTCTTTACAAAAGAGAAAAATATACTTACCAACAAGTGGTGTAGGTGGCGGTGTAGTTTGGCAGGAACAAGAAGGTCTTTGATGAGGCCATGAATGAGATAAACGACCTGAAGTCTAGAAACACAAACAGTAATTTTGCATGTAAAAAAGAAAAAATATGCAGCCACAACCTTTAAGAGAAAAATCATACAACTGAAAATTCTATCAGAAAGCAATATAAAATTTGAGTGAAGTCCAGTTTTGCAAATTGTTTACAGAAATAATAAAATATACTTACTATTTTTGATCAAATGAAAAAATATCTATAATTATCACTTTATTTAGAGTAGTAGGTTTGCCTTTGTTGCTTTTGCTTCCATATTTCATTTAATAGATTCTTTGGCTAACATATCACAATAAAATTTATTTACCTTCAATCATTATGAAACATGAAATATAAAAACATGCAAAAAAGAAACAATAAAAACTAGATAGCTGCATAAACAATATTATAAATTATAAAGATACTTAATGTTATAAATAATAAAGTATTTTTATTGAAGATTTTAGGCATTGCCAAGAGGACTGCATGCGAGAGAAAATGTTATTTCAGTTGAAGAAAGAATAAATTATAATCTGATTTAAGAGAGTAGATTATCTGGTTCTCACACAGCAATAAGAATAAAAATGGTTTCCCAGTAAATGGAAGCAAGCATAATCAATTAAAAAAAACAGTAGATTGTTAATAATGATATATATTAAAAGATAAATGAATAGAAAGTTAATTAATAATACACTATCCACACATGCAAAGATGAATTGTTTAAAAAATATTATTTTAGAACCATCAGGAACATGTTATTCACATAGAAATAGTCATGAATGTAAAAACCTTTTCTTATTTTGTTTTTGTCTTCAGGTTAGTAAATATTTAGAATCACTATTCATATTTTAAATAAGTATTTAGCTGTTTTGCATAAAGTATTTAATAACCCAACGTTATCAGTTAAAATATTAGTTTAAACATGTAGGTTTTATTATTATAAAAAAAATCAACAAAAGATGTGCATTTAATTATAAATGTATAATGAGATAATTTATAAAATGTTTAAAATAATGTTATACTGGAACATACCTATTCTATTATTAATAGACTCTCCCACATATAATAAGTAGTTGCAGTCGCCAGTGAGCTCAGTGAGTTGGTGAGTCAGTCGATGTCGGACATTAAAGTATCCACCACCACAACTAGATTGCTGCGTCATTAACTATTATATCAAGTTCCTAATGTTTTGTACGTCGAACCTTTTTAGGACCAACTTAGTGAAATACAAGCCTCCACTGTGAAACTACTCTATAACAACTATTCAATTCACTAAAAATGACTTCAAAAGTGCAATGAGCTGGCTCCCAAATAAGAGTAATGATTAAATCTGAATTAGTTATTATATAAGCAAAAAGAACAATATAATTTTTATGATTCTACCACTTTTACTGTCCACTCTATTTCTAGCCTTACACATCCTTAGAATTTAATTAAGAATTACAGAGGTACAATGCAAAATTTAGGAAGTCAAGAAATCTTAAAAAGAAAAAAGAAGTTTGTAATAGGATGAAGAATGACTGAAGAGTAGCTTATCCCCAAAGAAGTTTGACAGTGTGAATTATCAAGAGCACCTGAGATAGACTACTGTTTTGTCGTATAATAGAAATAGAGGAGTATTTCTGAAGAAATCCAGTTTTATTCTACCTTTTCCACTGTTTAAGGATTAAAACACAATGAGAGTAGAGTCTCTTGACTCCTTATCAAATTACAACTGAATATCAGACAACACACCAATCCAACAACTTCCCACATCTTACCAGACTGTGGGGAGGGGTTATCACAATCTTATTACAATATTATAAAAAAATTAAATACACATTTAATACCAATCATCAGGAAAATTCAAAATTGAAAATAAGGTTCCAAATACCATAGACTGAAAACTTGGTAAATTATGGTACAAAACAATAGTTTAATCAAAAAGGTAGGTTTCCATTGCCCATTCTTTTTCCCCCTGTCAAATCACTTACACAGTTTGAATAGATCATTATGTTGCTCCGTTCAATTTTATCAAAGAGTGGTATATTCAGTTTCTAGAAAAAGCATTGGTTGTGATAAACAAGGTTTAAGAACAGAATATATCTGGGAGTGAAATAAAGACTTCTGTTTAAGAGTTCCCTGAGTGTTACTAGATGCAACACCTGAAACACCATGTTCAAAATAACAAAACATGAAAATAACAATCTTTATAACACAGTTATAATGATGCTTAATCTCAAAACTATAGACAAATAAGGCAAGATGAATCTTTTATGAATTTAGTAAAACAATTTCCAAAGTTATATGTTGATGTTTGCTCAAGTTTTAAGTATTATTAGATATAACTTTAAATTAACATTACAAATAAGAATTTAGTTTAGGATGTATTAAAAATACATGTAGTTCACCAAAACATAAGATATAACAGAAAAAGGATAAATGTAAGTGAAGTATGAGTTATTTTCTTTCATTTTTTATATTTAATCTTCAGACAGATTAAAAATGATTGGATTAGATTAATTCCCTAAGTAATGACCAAGGTATTTATTTATATTTATCTAAATGCAAAAATTGGCTACATGCTTCTTAATAAATTTCAACCTCAATATTAAAAGATTATAATGACAGGCATTTAACTTAAAGAAACGATGAACTCATAAAATTCATGTTTTCAATTGTGTGTATAATACAAGCATGATCAAAATATAACTTTTTTTATGGAGATCAATGATAAATTATTATTTGACGCATTTTTGAGAAATATGACAGAAATAATATTTGTTTTTATAGCAAAGATAAAAAAGCTACATTTGTTAATGCAAAATAAATATTTACAGTCCAAAATTTTTACATTGAAAAGGTTGTGCATTAAATAAAAATTGTGTGCTACAACTGTTTCAATCGGAAGTAAATGTACTTTTGGTGTTTCAAGAGTCATCACCTTCATAAATCCTTTTCTTTTTTATACACAGAGGCAGGTTAAATGGATTCAAGTAAAACTTATTTATACAAATACAAGAAAAATGGGAAGACTTTTTGAAAAATGCACTCATATAATAAAAACTCAAATGTTATTGATAACTAAAGATGCAGATCAAATGAATACAGGGGCTACAAGTATCTTGCATAGTAATTACCAAAATTATGCTATAAAAACAAAGAAATATATATTTAAATCTAAAATCTATGTCCGATCCATTCCATGGTTTGTAATAATATGTTCCAGGTGTTAATGTAACTCAGCTTGTCAGCTTGGGCAAAAACAAAATATAAAAGCATTCTGTGCTAACTTCATGATAAAAAAAATCAATTTTAGGTTTAAAAAGCTTACAAAACTGCAGAAAAATTGTTTATATGAAGTGATACTTATGAAAAGTTTTTCAAATAAAAAAAGATAAAAATTTCTGATAAAGCATGATAGTCTTCTATATTTAAAACTGTTTTACTTTTATATAAACACAAATGAGTAATATTTTTAAAAAAGTAAACTATGTTATCAAAATATTGTTATACTTTCTTCCCAAGTGATGAAAATATACAATAGCAAAATAGTAAATAAACTTAACCCAGATTTAATTAAATATCAAAAAATGCAATTGTAAATTCAATCAGTACATATCAAGAATAGATGGCAATATTTACTGAAGAGAATTATATTACCAAATGCAAATGTTTTGCAGCAATTTTAATTAAATACTATGTTTCAAGAAAAATAATAAAAATGCTGGTTGTACACTGAATTGAATGTAATTCTTTATATACTTATGAGTATATCAAAATAGAAAATTATAAGATTAAAAGATTTTATAAAATTAAATGAAAAAAAATATTTTTCAAAATAAATTTTAATGAGATTTTCTTTGGAAAACATAAATCAGTTCAAGAAATAGGCAAGAACACAGTTACTTTAATGGGAAACAAGAAGCAAAAACTTACCAAAGCAGCAAACACTGCCTGCTTTTTGTGTAATTGTTGCTTAAGATCTTCAATCTCTTTACTGATTTCATCTTTCCACAGTTCTGTAGAACTCGAGTTAGGACTCTCTACTTTCTGAGATTGACAAAAAAGATAAAAAAATAAAGATCATACTATGAAGAATTTATGAAAGTAAAATTCTTCTTAATCTTTCTATAATCATTTTCTATTTTGATACATTTAAACTATTTACATTTTTAAACTCAAAAGTTCACAGCATTTTGGTAAAAAAATAATCCACCTATATAAAATGCAATGTTAATTTATCTGTTTATAAATTGCAATATGTATCTATATATGAGTGCTGAAAAGTTCACTTTCCAAAATATGACTAGACATCACGGTCTGACCAAAAAATGTTCAGAACTCCTTCACATACTTTTTGTGTGTGGAACATGAAACAGTGGAATACAATTTCACCTCAATTATTTATCATATGCTTTAAAAATATCTTCCAGAAAATGAATTGTAAAAAGTTGAAGTAAACATAAATGAAAAATATTATAACCATTTATGATATGCTGATAAAATTTTATTAATATGAGAATCATTGGATAAATTACAAGAAATGCTAAATGGGGTAAGTTTGAATGTTGGTTTAAAAAAGAACAGAAACAAAAAGTAATGTTAGAAAAATAAAAAAGATAACAAAAATAAAAAAGATAAGAACAAAAGAACAGAAAGAATCCTAGAATATATCTACTTAAGACTAGTTATAACATTAAGACAAGCCATAAAAATACAATAAATGTAAAATGACTGGCTGAAAAGCATTTAATAAAACTAAAAATATGAAGAGCATCATGCTAATATGCTTAGCACAAAGTATATAATGGTTATATAATGCAATGGCATATAGGTGTGAAATATTGAAATTAACAAATTCACTTTAAAACAAACTTAGAAATGCACAAAAATCAATGGATCAATTATCAAGGGATCAGAGATATCATAGAGGTGATCAAGTAACAAAAATGAAAGTGGACAGGATCCATAGAAGGAACAATAACAGATGAAGCAAAAGGTTGCTTGATTGTTACTGAATAGATACTGTAAGAAAAGACCAGATAGAAGATGAAGAGATAAGGAAGGTAGGTTTGCTGATAAGATATTGCAGAATTATGGAGTTGAAAGAAGTGGACACACAATGGCTGATAAGATGGAAATAACTTCAATAAACATCCTTGTAGCAATCAATTTCTAATTAACAAGAAAATGTGGTTAATTTGTTTTGAAAGTGATGTTAATAAGCACCAAAATCCTAATTAAACCAAACACTTTTTATTAATTGGCAATGAAAGATGGATTATCCAGAAATATACTTTCTTGCAATTACTTTCCCAATTTAGTGATAAAGCTTAAAAGTTGATAATATCAAGATTTATTTTTACACAGCATACTTAATACAAATTTAACAGTTTTGCCTTCAATATTTAATCTTTATTTTTAAAAAAATATTGTATAATTCTCACTTAAGCTCAGGTTGAATATAATTTAGAATATTATCTAAGATCTGAATTTTAAAAAAATGTCATTAATAATACCATGAATGTAACATCTACTTGATTACTATTCCATACAGAACATATTGACCCAAGTAAATAATATTATTCTTTTTAATGTTTTAAAAAAAAATTATCAATGTCAAAAGTTATATAAGTTATTTTGTTTTGCTCCGGAATCACAGACATCTGATAAAGAAATTTATCAAACCATTTATCAGCTCAAATAATATCATACTCTAACCAAAAAGAATGCAAGGAACTAGAGATGACAGTATTCAAAACTTCACATGAGGATAGTCAAATATAACACATTTTTTTTTAGGTACCTAAAATTTACTGAAAAACTTTACAGCTCAATGAACAACCAAGTTATGACTATGCAAATTTTCTGTCTCATGTGCTATTAGGCCAGAAGCCAATTTTAACAATGTATAACAGAAGATGCAGGCTTCAAACATGAAAAATCATTATAAATGTTATGACATAGCGGTAAAAGAAAGATAATACTATTGGAATCAACGATTATTAGATACAGCCAGCCTAAACATTGGGTAAAATTGCATTCTCAAAGACAAAATAGTTAGAAATTGGCACAGAAGGGCAATTTAGACTGCTCATATAAGTTTAATTCCAACAGTTAATGCCTTGCAACTTCTTGCTAGATTCATAACACAACAGAGAGGAGGATAATATTTTTTCAGTAGTACATCAATAAAAAAAACTAATATTTAAACCATGTAAAAAAAGCCAAGAATGCAATTTGACAGTAGGACAAGAACAGGTCAAAAGCATACCATCCTGAATTTGCTATAAAAAAAGTATTCACTGGAGGTATATGCCTGAAACCTTTTATGAATTTTGGGATTAAGAATTCAAGAAAATAGTTCTCTCTATAATATGAATACCTTTTGTTATAGATGTATCTAATTTGGGAATATTTTGTGAAATTATGCAATTATTGTCGGATAAACCCATTGTCCTGAGGTCAATTCTCAGTCAATCCCACACCATATAATCATCATCGAGGTTCAACTGGTGTTGGTTGTTGTCCTCTTCAGTCCCTCTCACCCTGCCTACATTGTGTTCTTGATAACAGGGTTGGTTGAATCAATTAATGGCAGTGATTGATGCATTGAGTCAAACCTTGATGAACTGGCTATGTTGTTAAAAAAAAAAAAAAAAAAGTCTTTTTGCAAAAGTGATGATTTTTGGTGTAGAAAAATTAACCCTTCCCACTAAGGTCTCTTCAGTGACACTTTTGTTTAGCAGTGCAAATTTCTTGGAACAGGCTCCAAAGTTGGAAATTCTGTTGGCGGTAGGTCATGCAGGTTTCAGAAGTTCCTGGTCTCATCTGCATCTCTCGCTATTTCTGGCTGAACTTCCTGCTGCAATTCTAACTGTAACAGTCTTGGCCACTCCAGCGCTCTGCTTATATGGATTCCTACTCAAGACCAGCATAGAGGCTGACAGTGTTTGGGGATTTGGGGTTTCCCTTGTCTTCCAACATGAGTTCTTTGTTGTCTGGTTTGTAAAATTAACCATCTCTCCAAATTTGGAAGATCCCTTCTTCCTACAAGTAGTGGTTGCAGGTACTGGCCTACTTGTATGACTCATACCTTCTCTTATTTATGCCTCACACCATCACTTCCCAATTGGCATAGGCAATTCCTTCATCCCTCTTGGTATCTCATCTCAGCCCTTCACCTTGGGTGACATTTTGACAAATCTGATTTTTAAACTGTGTAAGCAAAATAGCATGGCCTAACTTTTAGCTATTAATTGTAAATATCATTTTAATTTTCATCAGCAAATTTTCCCAGCCTAAGGTCTTGGTTTCATAATCAGAAATTTAACAGCTGTTAGCAAGTATTGGTTTGCATATCTTGTTTGCCTGCTCATACTTATGACCCTTGGTTTTGGTTCTTATCTAAAGAAATTTTTTTTTCTTTGGACTGTTTACCATTTCCACTTTTCGACAGGCGGAATAAATCAGTTTCCTAACCTAGCCTTTGGCTTCAAAATTTACCAAATATTATCTCTCAAACGACTTTCTTTCCTGTCTAGTCATCAGGTGATGGTTTTGTAATCTGTACTTTAGTAAGTGCCCAGAAATTCATTTCTCGTTTCTGCCTTGTTTAGCAAAATTCTCCGATGAATCAGAATGCCCTCCCACTATCTCTCCCCACTCTTTATGAGTTTAAATTTTCCAGATGGCATTTTCGGCAATATCTTCTTCAGAAAATTAAATCTATTTTCTTCAAGTTGTCTCTGCTTCCTCCTTTCAGTTTTTGTCATTCCGTATCTTTAACCATTTTTGTCTGTTCCAAGTTATATTTTAATTTAACCCTTTTTGTATTTACCAGTATTACGGTAAAATAAAATAAAATAGACAGTTATGACTTTCTAAGTGTAAATATTGAATATTTTTAAAATCTATTTACAAGAAAAAAAAGGAAGACATTGTACACTTAAACTAAAGACACTATTGTAAACTTACTATATTTCTAGCATATTACCATTTAAAAAGCCTTTTACAATGTTAACCAAGTTATCCTATAATGAAATAAGTTATCTGATGGCAAATTAGATTCATTTAAACCTTTATCAGTAGACAGACTGAACTTGGACACCTAAGATATAAACTATTTTTCCTGGATTCTCACTTGTCAAGTTTCATAAATATATAAATTTTTATACATCAAAAACAATATTGGGGTAAAAATGTATGACAAAGTGGAAAAAAAAAATTGTATGATGTGTTTCGTCCTTTAGGACTTCACTGGACTAAATTTGTCATGTTGATGCGACTACACATGCACACAAACAAAGGATGCTGGCAATTTTTAATTTTGATTTATTTTTTTATATAATCTAGCAGATTTCATTTAGATTCTTTTTCTTTCTGTTTCAACCACTTTTATTATTGGCTATCCCATACTGTGATAATAGAAGATCTGCCAGGAATGGTGAAATGTTGTAAGAGCCAAGGAACAAATTTACTGTGAATGACCCTGCAATCAAAGCACTCTCTAAACATTTTTGTCATAGTGAATTGTTTTCTCCTTTGATCAGAATAGCATTTATTATGTTAAAATTGTGGTCAATCTCATTACAGTGGGCGACAAACACATTTGATGTATTGTTTTGTAAGATGTTCCTTTTGTGGTCATATAATCTTTTATTTTGATTCCTTGAGATATAAATGAAATCAGAATATATAAAATATTTAAATTTATAATTCCCAGAATCCTCCCTCATTCACATTGCATGTGTACTCATACCAACATAATAAATTTAGTCTAATGAAGTCCTAAAGGACACAACACATCAAAAAAATTTTTCACACTTTCCCATATATATATATATATATATATATATATATATATATATATATATATATATGAATCAATGAAGTATGTAATGTAACACACTTATAAGCTGAATTTTGATCTAAACTTTCACTGTATAATGTTCAACCTTTGAGATTAATATTCACCATTTAATTAAGTGGCATTTACAAGAAAGGGGATTATATTAAAAATATTGTCTAAAATGTTTTTTTTTTCATTA